AAGTATTAAGAGGGGCCTGGCCCTAGCTCAGGCCTTTAAGTGACTGCTTCCACAAAGCTGTCAGCCTCAGGTTGCTGGAGTTCGAACCTCACACCTCTCCAGCTGGCCAAAAGTGCCCTGAAGGCATTCAAGGAACAAAAACAAACAAACAAACAAAAAAAAGTATTAAGAAATAACCACTCTTTGGAATTTCAGATAAATAGTTAATACTACAAAAATTATTTATATTACCTACATTATTTATCTACACAAGCTCAATGCAAACCTACAAAGACCTAAAACAAAAAATGCAAGGCCTTTTTAACATTTCTTAAAGTACTACTATACACATTTGGGTCTAGAATAGTTGAGCTTCTCAATAACATGGAATTCCACCTTACCAGAGACGAGAACTTTAAGAGTACAAACTCCACAGTGTATAGAATACGTCATAATTAAGTCTATAAAGAAGGCTAATGACTTGATTTAAAAGTTAACTTAGTCATCTCTCCAAAGTGAAATAGGGAAGTGGTCTGTTGTCTTAGATTAGGAACAGAAAAAACAGCAAAGAACATTTTAAGAAGAAAATACTCCTTAAGAATACCTTCAGAAATTCTTGACATAGTAAAGAATTATTTTATCCTCTTAAAGACTCATCACAGGAGCATATTATAAAACTACACGAGAGAAAAAGTTTGAGGACTCATACTTCCTTATTTCAAAAGATCAAAAACCTAAGGTAATCAGGAAAACATAATTACTGCCAAGTTCAAGCACAACTAGGCAAACTATGAGTTTCTGTCTCAAAAATAAAATAAAAGGGATAGAGCTCTAGCTCAGTGTGAAGGCCCTAGGTTCAATATCCAGTTTAACATGGTTTCACCAGCTTGTACCACCAGTGGTTACTTCATCTAAAATTATGTACTCAAAGTACAGCCACTGATGGTTCAAGCTACTTGGCAGCAAGACACACGTGTTAAAATATCTACAACATGTGAATATGTTAAAAAATCAACATAGATGAACCTTGAAAACATTATGGTAAGTGAAAGTACCACAGAATACCACATATAGTATGACAGAGCATTTATAGGAAATGTCTAGAACAGGTAAATCTTTAAGAAAATCAGCAAGTTAGTAGTCATTTAAGGCTTTGGGAAGATGCAGAAGGGGTATGATTGCTAATGATTATGGGGTTTTTTCCTAGGGTGATAAATACGTTATAGAATGGCTTATAGTAACGACTATACAACTCTCTGCACATCAAGTTGTGCACTTAATGGCATATTACATTTCAATAAAGCTGTTATTTTTTTTCCTCTGATTCTGTATGTGTGTGTTTTAGATACCTCATCTTCCCCTTCCCATTTGAACATTTTCTTCCTTATTCCCCATATCTATCTCCCATTTTGGTCCTTACTTACCTGAGTTTCTCACACCAGAGAAATAATGTGATATTTAAACATAAATGCCCAATTTATTTTACTTAAAATTATGTTCTCAAGGTATATCCTAAAAACCTTTTAGGTAAAAACCTAAAAATGTCCCAAGTTTATCCTTTATGACAGGTAGTACTCCATCGTACGTAAAACACAGACTTTCTTTATCCATTCATCCATTGATGGGCATATGGGTTGTTTCCAAGATTCAGTTATTATAAGTTCTGACGCCATAAACATATGTGTGCATATATTACTACTGTATGATTAAAGCTGTTATTTTTTTAAAGCTATGTAAATATTATATTTGGATCTAAACTGTCCTACAAAGATTATGTTCTGGGGGCTTAGATGCCATCTGATGGACATTTAGAAGGTGTCTGGATCATGAGGATTCTAACTTCATCAGTGGATTAATGCAAGGATGGTTTCTTAATTTGATGGCATTATTAGGGGGTGGGCCTAGTTCAAGTGAGTCACAGGGGGCACAACCTTATAAACTATATCCTCTCCTGGCCTCTTCCTCTCTAGGTCTTTCTGGCTATGTGGCTGACTGCCTTGAGATAAGCAGCCTCCTTTGTCACCTCCTTTATCCTTAAAATGGAGGTTTAAATGGTCTTTCAGAATCATATTTTTAACTGATGAATAACTGTGCTAGCTCACGGATATGGCTCAGTGGCATAGTGCCTGCCAAGCAAACACAAGGTCCTGAGTTTGATTCTTAGTACAAATAAACATGTACTAATTAAAATTAATTTGAAAATCAACATCTATTTTATGCATCTATATTCTACCAACCACTGAAAGATGAATCATTAATCACAATTTTACTTCCTAAGAATGAAGAGCACTAATTCAAAATTATCACAACAACACTCATTAGACATTCACCTTTTCAATCTTGGTTGTGCCAGTATTTTTTTCTTCAGCATCCAGCCCTTCTGGCTTCTGAATTTCTCCTTTAATTCCATTCACAAGGCCTGAAGGCTGCCATAAATCATCCCATTTATCTTTTGGTGGAGAAAAACAACAATCCTATAAAGAAAAAAACTACGAAATAAATTGACAGTGACATATGATCCAAAAGGACAAAAGAATAATGTATCAAAATAAAGTGTATTAAACATGAAAAAGTATTTAACTTTCTATATTAGTGTCATTTTTCACTTTGCTTTAATGGCTTGTATTCAGTATTTCACTGGAACTCCTTTGTTGGCACTTCATAAACAGAATCCTTCTTGGAGAATGTAATACCATGTTCATGTCTAGATGTCAAACATCAACTGGAGCAATTTAACTACAGGTGTTTCTTCTTAAAACCAACAGAAAACAATTTCAACTATATTTATTAGGCACAATATTAGCCAACACTCTGAACAGTGAACCCCAAGATCATATTACAAAACTATTGCAATAAACATAAAATTAAGAGAAAATAATTTACAGATCATAAGTCTCTGATTAGGAACTAATGATACAACAAAATCATAATGCTTGAAAAAGATATGCATAATAAGCTCGTTCTCTGCTGCATCCTGTGTCCCCTTACCTACCACTGTCATTTATATACACACATAAATAAAAATCATATAATCTTTTGAATTATGTCTTAACAAATCTCTCTGAATTCCCAGATATTTAGCTTTCTTGAGGCTCAAATTTCATTTTCTCAACAGCAATTTGTTTTGTATTACCCTAAGTATCTAACCTTTTGTGCTATTTCTTCACATGGTAAATACTGTTTCTTTCCACCAAAACTTGAGGCAAACAGATGGGAGTTAGTATCACCTTCCTTTTCCATTTTCAACCAGTTCTCATCCCAAATGTCATCACCTATGGTCACTGATTCCAGGCATGGCATGCCAGTGGGGATCTCATCCTAAAATGTATCAGAGAACAAATAAAAACTATCATTTATAATTTCTATTTGAACACATTTTAAAATTTGGGCTCACACTTCTTTCCTGACTCAAATAAAGATGGATGGCTGTTTTATTTTTTCTGTATTAAGACAGGGTGTACTGGGTCTCACTGTGTAGATAAAACTGGTGATCCTCCTGTTTTCAGCCTCCCAAGTGCTGGAATTATAGGCATGCGCCACCACACCCAGTCTCAATTACTGCCTCAGTGTGCCCCGGGGGCAGAGCCGGCACCATAGGTCCAGGGATTGAACTACTGGCCCCTGCATTTGCCTAAGAATTTTAATCCGCTGAGCTATTCAGCCGGCAACATGGCAGTTTGAATACACAGATGTATTACTCTTTCCCACTCTAAGTGCTACCAAAATAAAAATAAAGAGATTTAAACTGTAAACTTTTTAGTCACAGAGAAAAGAAAACACCTACATCTTGTATACAGGATAACAGACATTTGATTAAGGGTGGTAGACAACTGATTAAGGAGTCTTGTGAGCAGGTAATGGAAAAACTGAGAAGCAACCCATACTTATACTAGAGATATAATAAAAACTCAAGAATTTTACTACAAGGCTTTTAGAAATAAGGGGATGGTAATTAAAACAAGACTACCAGTTGAAAGTGTGAGAAGCAATTAGATCTTGATATATCTTCCGATTCCAAGGACTCCAGCAACCATACCTCTTCTGCCTGCTAGAAGACAAAGAGTATCTTCTGGAGAGTCAAGGGGGATTGTTGGAGGACAAAAATGATGGCAAAGCAAGCATAATGAAAAAAGGAAGTAGCTGAAGACTTTTAACCTTAATGTTGAGACTCTGGCCCTTTATTACTGCAGAACAGAGACAAATGGAAAGTGCAGGGCTGGCCAGATAGCTCAGCAGATTAAAGCACCTCCTTAGGCAGACGCAGGGACCAGGGTTTGATCCCCCAGCATGCCATGCCAGCCCCACCCACAGGGCACGCTGAGATGGCGATTGAGACTGGGCATGGTGGTGAATGCCTGTAACCCCAGGGCTTGGGAGCCTGAAAAACAGGAGAATCACCACGAGTCCTATGTAGTGAGACCCTGTACTAAATACATTAATAATAATTTTTAAAAAAACAAAGAGCATAGGCAGAGCAGCAAAGATTATCCAGTATGTACAGAGAAAAAAAAAAAGATTAGAAAGAAACCTCTAAAACGACTGTCATAGACTTTCATAACAACATGGAATATTTAACAATGTTTTTATAATCAAAATTGCAAAATTAAAATGTAGAAAAATAATTAGGGGTAGTGATTAAATCAAAAGACAGGTGAAAATAGAGAAAGACATTAACTTAAACTGATAGAATCCATGTATGACAAACTTATTGGCAACATTATACTAAACAGAAAAATCAAAGCATTCTCTAAAATCAAGTACAAGACCCAGGCAGCCACTTTCACTTCTCCTCTTCAATTTAGAGTCTGTGAAACTTTAGCCATAGCAATCAGGCAAGAAAAACAAAGAAAAGGGATATGATTGAGAAAGGAAGAGAAGCAATCCTTATTTGCAGATGACACAATCTTTTACATATAAGACATCCCCCCAAAAAACTTCCACCAGACTACTCTTCAGCCAAGATATTTAGGATACAAAATCAACTCACAAATATCAGTATCATCCTTGTATACCAACACTGAACCCAGTGAAAAAGATCAGAAAATCCCATAGTTAGAAATCCCATACATAGCATCTTTTTATTCCCTAGTATTGGGGATTGACTCAGGACCTTGCACTGGTCCAGCTGGTGCTTACGCCACTGAGCTATATCCCCAGCAGCACCCATACATAGTATTTTAAGAATGAAATACCTAGGAATTAACCAAGAAGTGAAGACTGTTCTGTAACAAAAACTATAGCAGTCTAAAAAAAAAAAAAAGGTTAAAGAAAACAATAGAAAATGGAAAACCATCTCCTGTTCCCTCAATAGGCAAAACAATTGTCAAAATGACCATATTACCACATGTGATATATACAATATATAATACAATTTCAATCAGAACATTGACAATATTCTTTACAGAACTCCTAAAAGTTATAGGAACCAGAAGAGACCCAGAATAGCCAAACTAATCTCAAACTAAAGGAGGAAAGCAGGAGACATTATAATTCCAAATTTTAAGATATACTGCACTTTTTTTTTTTTTTTTTTTTTTTTTTGGGGTACCAGGGATTGAACTCAGGACCTTGCACTTGCAAAAAAAAAAAAAAAAGATATACTGCAAAACCACAGTAATAAAACCAGCATAGTGTTGGCACAAAACAGTCACGCTGGTGAATGAAACAGAAATGAGGATGTAGAAACAATCTCATGCATCTCGAGCCATCTGATTTTTGACAGAGGCCAATAATATAAAAATAACACTATATTCTGTCAAACAATAAAACAGGCAAAACTCTAAAGGACACAAGCACAGGCAAAGACTTTCTGAAAAGAAATCCAATTACATAAGAAATACCCTGTGCTGGCAAGACCTGTCCAGTCCAAGCCCAGGCACAGTGTGGGTGATACCCTCTTCAACCTCCTTACCCCCCCTTCACTCCGAAGTTTCCCCCTCTCCTGCCCAGTGAGTGAGAACTTCTGCCCCGTTCTTGGGACCCACAGATCCAGGCCTAGCCCAGGCCTGGTGAGTGTGTGGGAGAGTTTCCTCTCCCCTCTACTTCACCTTGTCCCTTTCAGATTCAGCACAGGCCTGGCATACAGGCCTGGAGTGACACTCTGAAGCTGCAGTCCCTGAGGAAAGAGTAGGGGACAGAACCTCCCAGCTAGTCCAGGAGCAGAACATCTTGCCAGAGGGGCACAACAGGTGCACTCCTAAGGGCGGCAGCAGGAAGGAGCTGAGCACAACAGCCAGACCCAAGCCAGGCACAGTTGGATAAATTCAAACTTTGTACATCTGCACCTGAATTTCAGTAGGGCTAAGGTTATAACTGCACCAAAGCTCTACAACAAACGTCAGAAGACAGTGCTATACAAAATGACAATAAGAAGGAGCAAATGCAATCTCAGACCCCAAACTCACCCATAACAAGTGCAGAGGACACTAATACAGAACAAATTGGGAATCACACAGCTGAAATCAATGAATCAACAGCTTCTGAAATAAACAACTGCAGAAAGGTACAGAGGAACTCAGATTAGAAGAGAGAAAAGAAATCCCTAAACTAATACCATCTGCAGTAAAGAATCAAATGCAGAAACATATGGAGGAAACCCAGTACCTGCCCAGAACAAGTGCAGAGGACACTAGCTCAGCTCAAATTTATGAATTCATAGCGTCCAATGTGAATAAACAACAGCAGAAAGTTATAGAGGAAGTCAGAGCAGATTTCTTGTCTGAAATAAAAAAATAAAAAAAGAATTCTCTGAACTCATAGCATCTGAAGTAAAGAATCAACTACAGAAACATAGGGAGGAAACCCAATCTGAAAAAAACTGCAGTAAAAGAATGACTGCTTCTAAAGAAGACATTGATAAAAAAAAAATAGATTGGAAAAATGACAGATTCCTTGAATAAGTATTACAGGAAAGACATATATCGCATGAAGCAGAGTCAAAGAGATACAGAGGAACTTAAAATCTCAATCACAAGCTGGCAAAACTGTTTGAGTGAAAGTGAAGACAGAGTTTCGATCTTGAAGATGCTGGTGCAGGTAGTGAAAAGGTAAGAAAGGATCTCTTAAAAACAACCATGATGCAGGAAAAAATAATTCATCACTTGCAAGAAGATGCAAAGAGGAACAATGTGAGACTAATACGTATCAATGACGAAGGAGTCAATACAAATGACACTAAAAAAATATGGGCAGAAATAATAGCAGAAAACTTCCGAAATATGAGGAAACAATCTGGCATTCAAGTAACTAAAGCATACAGAAAGCCAAGTAACCTCAATCCAATTAAAAACACACCGAGACATATAATGGTCAAGATCCCAGAAATCCAGCACAAGAATAATGTACTGAAAGCTGCTAGAGAAAAGAAGCAGATCACATTCAAAGGAAAAACCATCAGAATAACAGCCAAATTCTCTTCAAAACCATGAAGGCAAGAAAATGGAGCAGAGTACTTCAAGTCCTCTTATGAAAACAAATTCCAGCCCAGATGACTATACCCTGCAAAACTCTCTTTCAAGTTTGATGGAGAAGTGAAATACTTCCATGACAAAGAACAACTAAAGAATTTCATGATGACAAAGCCAACCCCACACAGGCTCCAGAAAGATGTTCTAGAGAGGGACCAAAATGATCAGAACTCCATGAATGAGATCAGTAGCAATGAACTAAATAGGGCAAACAATCAAATACAGGAGAAAAAGGAGTAAACAACAACAGGTAAATAACATGTCAATTGTAAGTCAATACATCTCAATTATAACCATCAAAGTAAATAGACTCAACTCACCAATTAAGAGAAATAGACTGGCACAGTGGATTAGGAAACAAAATCCAACAATATGCTATATACAAAAAACACATTTAACTCATAAAGACATTCATAGGCTGAAAGTCAAAGAATGGAAAACAATACTACACACCCCAGCACCTCAGAAAAAGCAGGGTTAGCAATCCTATTCTCAGTCTCAACTTCAAACCAAAAATGATCCAGTGAAATAAAGAAGGCCACTATATACTGGTTAGGGGAAAAATTCAAGAGGAAGAGATAACACTCATAAATATGTATGCAACAAACACGGGAGCACCCAACTATATAAAGCAAATCTTAATGGACATGAAAAATCTAACATCCAATATCACAATCTTAACAGGAGACCTTAACACCTCCTTATCCCAAAAGATAGGTCAACCAGACAAAAAATTAGCAAAGAAATAACAGAACTGAACCAGAGCTTGAAACAAATGGACTTGGTGGACATATACAGAGTGTTTCACCCAAACACAGC